CGGCATCTGCCTTGCCCTGGTGTACATACACCCCAGCGCTGCAGACCCGGCAGTGTGCCAGCTGATCATCTTCCGCAACAGTTCCTCCAGGCATTGACATGTTTGCATGCACAGACACGGAAGTAATACCGGCAAATATTAATGAAAGAGCCTAAGTCCTCTTTAACTACCTCTTTGGTTTGCTGCATGTCAAAACCGAACAGCTGTTGGCTCGCAGCCTCCCCCGACAAACTACAAAAAGCACACTTGGGGTCTTTGACCCAAAAGGGGGGCCTCCAGGCTGGTTTATTAGTTCTGTTGCATTCGGGAAAGGGCCCCCTTTGCCTGCCCTTGCAATCGGGGCCCCGGGACCCCCCCTCGGGGGCCCCTTGGCCCCCACTTCGGTACCCAGGGGCCCTCTTCAGGGATTTTCCACATCAACGAAGTTGAAAGCTCCAAGAAAAAGTTCAAGTTGGCCCTTTCAGGGGCCCCTCTAGCGAACAAGTCTCAAGGGCACAAAACACCTTTTGGCGCTTCCTTTGGAGACCCTCAGGGGGAAGCCCAAGGAGGCCCCCCACAGGGGACCCCTTCTGGGGCCCCCATTCGGAGGCTTCCTACGGAAGCCCGAAAGGGGCCTCCCCGGGGGCCCTCAGAACCCCTTCGGGGGCCCCATAAGGAGGCTTCCAAAGGCCTTGCATGCAAGAAAAGTTTCTTATTGTGCTGCAGTCAAAGCGAACTCCACCAAAGTACGAACTCCGTAGCCCGTGGCAGATCCCGACTTAGAGCACCACGCCGGGCCTGCGATGTCTATGTGGGCCCACGGCGTCTGGGGAGAAATAATCACAAGTCCAAAAATATGAATTTAGGATTTTGCGCACAAGCATACATGCTAATACTAAATAGATATAAATATATATATGTATATTAACGGGAGTAACAAATAATGCTGCAGACGGAAGACTCCGAGACACATGGCACACGCCGACGCGGCAGCGGCCAGAGCAGTCGGCAGCAGCAGCAGCAACAGCAGCAGCAGCAACAGCAGCAGCAGCAACAGCAGCAGCAACAGCAACAGCAGCAGCAGGAGCAGCAGCAACGGCAGCAGCGGGAAAACTGCACCTTCTCGACGAATTCCTTGAGGAACACAGCCGCAGTGATGGCGCCTCCTCCCTTCCCCTTGGTCGCTGTGTTGTTCAAGTCTGCGCATTTCGACTCCAAGTTCTCTCTATAACGAGAGACAAATGGCATGCGCCACATCTTTTCGCAGGACCGGTCTGCACTGTACGTACACCCGAAACACACTGCAACAGACAAGGCGCTCCAGGCAGTGGCTGGCTCTCATCCGGAACCGCAGCAGCAGCAGGGGGTGAAGTGATGCAAGAAATAAGAAAAAGGAAAAATCAAAGATGATCCATGAAAGGAAACTGGAAACAAAGAAGAGAGGGAAGCCAGGACTAGGCAAAACACCAAAGCCCACAAAACCCCGCAAAGACCATCCAGAAAGCCAATTTTGAAGATTTAGTGAGAGCCAAGCAAAAAACGCTACAAAGCGGCAAATGCAGACTGGTTGAGCAACGAGCAGCAAAAGATAAGACCGCCAGTCACAGCACAAAATCACAGCAGGAACAAACAGCAGCAGCAGCAACCGCAGCAGCAGCAGCCGCCCCCGCCGCAGCACCAGCAGCAGCAGCCGCAGCAGCCACAGCAGCAGCGACGAACCACTTGAGTATCTTTTCTGCGAGTTGGTCGTCGGGGCTGAAGAGTCCGGCGTAACTTTCGCCAAGAGCGACGACGCATGCGCCGGTAAGTGTGGCGACGTCGAGGATGGCGTCCACTTCGAGTTTTTCGGCGAAGACGAGAGCGTCTGCGAGAGTGAGGCGGCCCTCAGCGTCGGTGTTTCCCACTTCGACAGTTTTGCCGTTGCTGGCCGTCAGCACGTCTCCCGGCCGGTAGGCCTGACTCGAAACCATGTTTTCTGCTGCAGCAGCAACGAAGTGGACTTCCACGCCTGCAGGCTGCAGCAGCCCCAGCGCCCGCGCCGCGCCCAGCACTGCTGCTGCGCCCCCCATGTCGAACTTCATCAGCTCAATTGAAGTTTCCGCGCGCTTTATGTTGTACCCTCCGCTGTCGAAGCACAGGCCCTTCCCCACAAAGGCCAGCTTCCGCAGGGGGGCCCCCGGGGCCCCGTCGGTGGCCCCCTTCGGGCGGTACGTCAGGTGAATGAACTGCGGAGGGTACATCGAACCCTTGCAAACTCCCAAGTAGCAGCCCATCCCCAGCGCCTCCACCTCCGCCTGGCCCAAAATCTTACACTCCAGGCCAAACTGAAGCAGCACACGAAGCCACAAAACCAGAAAAGACAAAAGAGAGGTTTATTCCAAACAAATACCTTCTTTCCAAACCCAAAGCGACGAGTTCCCGACAGAAATAGATCTAAAGACAAGTCATAGTCGAATGCCACAGAAATGCACACCGAGACCGCAGCAACTAGCACACAGCCCAGAAGAAATAAGCAAAGAGGTCAAGAAAAAGAAGCAAAAAAGCCGGAAACGAGAAAGTCACCTAGCAGCAAACTGTGTGGCAACGCCAGCAGCAGCAGCTGCTGCTGCAGCAAGCCGCTGGCTCTGCAGCCGCGAACTTGCATCTGGGGATGCTGAGCTTATATTCTGCCTCTCGGCAACAGCAGCAGCAGGCTGCTGCTGCTGCAGCAGGCTCAGCAGCAGCAAAACCACAATACGAATTGGCTATGTTACCTCTGCTGCCAATGATTCTGCTGCTTTCGCTAATGTTACTGTGGTGCAGTAGTTAGCCGGGGAGTTGACCAGCTCGCGGGCAAAGTGGACTCCGGCGGCCACATGGCGTGCGGCCTGGGCGCAGCAAACCCCCGTGCAAGTTGAAACTTCAAACCCTAAACCCTAGCTCCAAACCCTAGCTCCAAACCCTAGCCCTGTGACGCCGATTCTCCCCACCTGCAGCACAGCTTCAGTTCCTTCCTTGTTCGGTGCGAATATCGTCAGCTGTTCCACTTCACTCGTCTTCAAGTTCTTCGTGCCAGTCCCCTTGAACCTGCGCGCGCAAACCCCAAACCCTAAACCCTAAACCCTCACGCGCAACGCGGCCCCCGCCACAGATCCAAAGCAACAGCGCCGTCCACGCCAAGAATGGAACCTCCACAACCCTCAGTACGGGAGTAGCAGCAAATGCAGCAGCAGCTGCTGCTGCCGCAGCAGCAGCGGCAGCTGCCGCAACAGCAGCAGAAACTGCCGTCGCAGCAGCAGCTGTGGGAACAGCAGCAGCAGCAGCTCACCTATTGTCCGGGTTCATTTCGACGAGAATTGTCTCGAGCACAGACTGCAATTTTCTGAGGAACATTTTGGGGGCCTCAGGGCAGGGGCAGCCTTGGGTCAAGTCGGGAATGTAGAGAGCAGCAGATCTGATTTTCGACTTTTCGCGAAGTGCAGCAGCAACAGCAGC